CCCCCCCCCCACTTTCCTCTCTAGCCCTTTATGACCTCCTTATATCCGGGATTCATTCCTAGAAGATCTGCCCCAACAACTATGAGAACATCTGGCTCCTTCAATGGCTACCAGGACCCCTAAGGCCTTGCCTTTCTGGGCCTATTCCAGATTCCAGGAGTTAGCATGTGATAGTATCAGAATTGATGGCCAGGAGGGGGTGAGGAGAAGCAGTGAGAGGTGGGGAGACCTCTGACCGCGATTTAAAAAATAAAGAGCTCTGAGAAATCAATAAGAGTAGTGTCTGGCGGTGGGGAAGGCAAGCGCATACCCTGGCTCTGGCCTGTGGGCCCCGAGTGAGGATTTCCCAACACCGTTTGCCTGCTGGCTGCCCTCCACCTGCATCTACTGGCCTGACTTAGGTTCGTAGCTTCTTGCCCCGTCTGGCCTGGTTCGGGGTTGACCCAGACAGCCACTGGAGACAGTCGAGTCTTCAGCCTAGAGAGGCCTAGGAGCCTGGTCCAGGTCATTATTTCCTTGTAACCCTTACTGTTCTCTGTCACATTGGTTGACCCCTCAGGACACTCCCCAGGGGCCAGCTCTCCTTCTGAGAGCCCTGACCTAGTTCCAACCCTCGTAATTGCATTTGGTCCCCGTGGAGTCTTACAAATGAGGACTCTTTACTTCTTGTTTTAATCTCCTCTGGTAGTCTATTTTTAATCTCCCATATTCTCCACACTAATCACTTTGCTCTGTCTGTCCTGGTTCAGGAACAGAGAGTTGGGACTCCCTGTCCTGGGCTCCTGTGTCTGTAAAGGTCCTCTAGTTATCCCCATTTGAGGAAAAGGAGACACAGAGAGGTTAAGTAACTTGCCCAGGAACACACAGCTAGTAAGTGACAAAGCCAGGATTTGAACCCGGAATCCAAACTGTGACTAATGACAGATCCCTGCCCTGGTCACCAGATGACCTGGGTTCTCAGTGCCCACTCTGCTCCTAACTCATCGTGTGACCCCGGACAAGTCACTACCGACAGCCAGCCATCAGCGGAAAGCGTCTTCGTTTATAAAGCACCCTTTTTATTTTATTTGCCACAAAGAAAGAAAGCAGGGCTACTATCTTAAACGAGGACATGTCGATTTGAAGATACACCCCAATTTCCCAGATGTCAAACTGAACAAAAGCGTGTGTCTTAGAATCCGTGAGGTGTGGTCGTTTCTCGGGGTCTCAGATTTCTCATCTGGAAATTGGGTTTATTGGGCCCTGAAAGTTCTTCCCGACCCTCCCGGGCTACAGACAATTCTCTCAGGTCTTGTGCATTGCCAGCAACCAGGTTGCCATGGTAACTAGGGAGCAGGTTTCCCAAAGTTGTTTCTGGTGGTTCTCGGAATGCACCAGAAGTTACAGCCAGATGTCCCTCGCTGATATTTTGGCCTGACGATTCCAGAGACCCTGGTTTCCCTCAGACACTAGGAGCTCCCTGGCGTCCAAAACACTAAGGGGAAGAAGATTCGGTCAGGAATGAGTGTGAAGGACCTTGACGGTTCAAACCACCTCTTAAAAGAATGATAAAAGAAACACCCTTGACTTTCTTTCTTTTTTTAATGTTTATTTATTTTTGAGGCGGGGAGGGGCAGAGAGAGAGGACAAGAGAATCCCAAGCAGTCTCTGCACTGCCCGCACAGAGCCCAACGCGGCACTCGGACCCACGGATCGTGAGATCGTGACCTGAGCCAAAATCGAGAGTCAGACACTTAACCGATTGAGCAACCCCAGCGCCCCAACACCCTTGGCTTTCAAACAGAATTAACTATGTGACCAAAACTGAAACTCTTGGAAGTTTGGGTCCTTTGTCTTCCTTTCTGTTTTCTTCTGCTCAGAAAGCCTCCTTACCCCACCAAGAAAGCTCTCTCGGAAAATGTCTTGAAATTAGCCATTTCTCTGCTGGTGCAAACAAATTCCCATATGTTACCTCTCCCCAGGGCGTTTGGACTATCATGCTTTCTTACCAAAGAACAAAAGTGCTTTACCTTGTCCAAGACTTTTAGACATCAACAAGACAGGATTCTACCGGGGGTGGGGGGGGGCATCAGATAGGTTTTCCAAGTTGGGAGAAGGGCCATATCTTAGATTGGTTACCCCTGAGTCTCCAACTAAGCCCCTGACACAAAGGTTACTAAAAGGACACCATTATGATTTCTCTTTCAGTTTCTCCTTTCGAGCTCAGGCGTGTAAAAGTGGACTTATCATAACTCTTAGATTATGGCATCCTGGGCTCATTGTTATTTTGTTAGTCGGGCAGTTTGTTCGTTCGTTCGTTCATTAGTTTTAAAACGTACTGGGGCGCCTGGGTGGCTCAGTCAGTTGAGCGTCCGACTTCGGCTCAGGTCATGATCTCGCGGTCCGTGAGTTCGAGCCCCGCGTCGGGCTCTGTGCTGACAGCTTGGAGTCTGGAGCCTGTTTCGGATTCTGTGTCTCCCTCTCTCTCTGACCCTCCCCCATTCATGCTCTGTCTCTCCGTGTCTCAAGAATGAATAAAACGTTAAAAAAAATTTTTTAAATAAAAAAATAAAACGTACTAAGCACACAGGAACCCACCAGCCAGCACAAAACCTGAGTCCTTGGCAAGGACCTGTGCCCAGCTGTTATCGTTGAACCAGAGCAAAAAAGTGCGTGGTGGAGAGCCATGGAACTTTCCCCACTCCTTTTTAAGATCGGCCAGGGGTTGGTGGGTTGGAGGGTGGGGGACAATTGTTGTTCCTCACTTTAACAGAGGAGAAACTGAGACCCGTGGAAAGGAAACTTGCATAATCTTTAGCCAAGGCCACCAACGACCCTCCTCTCTCCCTGCCTGCCAGGCCAGATGGATGGGGTTGTTATTAACAGGAAAGTCAGAGCCGCCTGGAACACCCCCCCCCCCCCCCCCCCCGCCACGCACTCCACAAACCTAACTTCCTTTCCATTCTCCCTCCTCTCCCTTCTAGACTATGCAGAATTCATTTTCTTAGGACTCTTTATGTCCGAAATGTTTATAAAAATGTACGGGCTTGGGACGCGGCCTTACTTCCACTCTTCCTTCAACTGCTTTGACTGTGGGGTAAGTACTCTCGTTGATAGGAAGTTCAACTCTCCGGCTCTGGCCAAGAACGGCTGATGCCTGGGCACATCAGAAAGGGAACAGTAGGGTCACGTCTGGACGTGAGAGACGCAGCCGAAGGCAGAAGGAATGAGAGGGCAATCCCAGATACCGGTGAGGACACAGAGGTTCCCAAACTTTTAGCCACTGCCAGCGGGAGGGAAACGTTCAGGCCCTCTTTCGTTTATAAAAGTTCCAAACCAAAGGACCCAATATCGCATGGCAGCAAAATGGAGAAATAAACTGTGGCACGGCCATATAACGGAATTCTCCACAGCAAGGAGAGGCGACCAGCCACAGACATTGACAAAAATCAGCCCGTAGAGCAGGATTCCGCTCCGCTCCCGTAAGATCAAAAGGATAAAAACTAGACGACTGTATGTTGGTTAAGGATGATGCTTGAGAACTTTCAAGGGGCAAGGACCTCAAAAAACGTTATGCTCAGTGAAAGAAGCCAGACCCAAAAGGTCACATACTGCATAATTCCATTTCTGTGAAAGGTCCAGAATAGACATATCCATAGAGACCAGAAGCAGGTAAGTGGTTGTGGGGAGGAGGAAGGAATGGGGAGTGACTGCTCATGGGGAGACAGGGTCTCTTGGGGGAGTGATGAAAATGTCTCAGAACTGCATAGAGGTGACACTGACACAACATTGTGAATGCGTGAAATGCCCACGGGTTCTGTGCTTCAAGTTGTTACTTTGACGTTCTGTGGGTTTCACTTCGATTTCTGAAAAAACGCAAGGAAATGGTTACTGCAGTACCCAGGGGCCCCTCGAGGCTTCTTGGGGTGGAGACCCTCACCCTGCTTCCGTGTGGGGGCATCTTGGTTGGGTTCCCGTAAGGTCCGGGGCCAGGGCACGGTTTCCAGGGCCCTGGACGCAAGACCAGGTTCTCTGCTCCAGGTTATCATCGGGAGCATCTTCGAGGTCATCTGGGCCGTCATAAAACCCGGCACATCCTTTGGAATCAGCGTGTTACGAGCCCTCAGGTTATTGCGTATTTTCAAAGTCACAAAGTAAGTCTCTGGAGCATCCCCCGGCATCCCAGCAGGGGCGGGGATGGGGACCGGGGTGGGGCCACCTCCAGCTTGTGGGGACGGGCGGGCTCAGCTGACCGGCCTGACCGCCCCTCCCCGACCCGGGCTCTGCTGGCAGGTACTGGGCATCACTCAGGAACCTGGTCGTCTCTCTTCTCAACTCCATGAAATCCATCATCAGCCTGTTGTTCCTCCTTTTCCTGTTCATCGTGGTCTTCGCCCTTTTGGGAATGCAACTCTTCGGCGGCCAGTAAGCGCTCAGCAGACTCCCTGACTTCCGCTTCCCCGGGGTCCCGTGCGGGGACAGAAGTGGGTCTGGTGCATCCAGAGACCCAGGCTCACCTCCATCCCGCAGACCGCCCCCCTTGTGGCTCCGGGAGCCCAGTGTATTCACCCAGATGGGCGGGGTCCTGGGTACCAGTCAGGGTGTCCTGGGGAACAGAGATGCTGGAGATGTTGCCCTGGAGACAGGATGCTGAGCTAAGTAAGCCCTCAGAGCACCCAGGGCAGGGCCAGCGTGAAATGCCTGTGTCCTCCCCGCAGGTTTAACTTCGATGAAGGGACTCCTCCTACCAATTTCGACACTTTTCCAGCAGCAATAATGACAGTGTTTCAGGTACGGTCTTCACCTGGCCCCCGTGGGCGGATACCTCTTAGTGCCAGAGACTGAAGCAACCATTCAGCATAGGAGGGGGGGTTCCTCAAATCGCTCTTCCCCCGCTTTGCCTCGTCCCGCTGTTTTAAAATACAGGTTTTAGGGGCGCCTGGGTGGCGCAGTCGGTTAAGCGTCCGACTTCAGCCAGGTCACGATCTCGCAGTCTGTGAGTTCGAGCCCCGCGTCG